TTACTGGGAATTTACATACAAACCATACAATTTCGGTGTATTTACATTTTTAACACCCTGTTTTTTTTTTTAACATTTATACCACTCAAATATTTCACATCACATACAAAATACCACCATTTTGGCCTTTAAAAAGTAAAGTACATATTTTTTCATGCATATGTAAAGTGGTATTTATGTAAAAAATTGAAGTTTAGGTGCTAGATATGTAAATAGGCAGGAATGGAGTGGCCCAAAAAAATTTCACATCACATAAAAAGTACCACCATTTTGGCTTTTAGAAAGAAAAATGCCTATTTTCATGCATATGTAATGTAAAGTGGTATTTATGTAAAAAATTGAAGTTTTGGTGTTATATATGTAAATAGGTAGGAATGGAGTGGTTTACATGTAATTTTTTCTGTTTTTTATATTTTAATATTACAAATGGGAGGGTAAAAAGAAAGTTTTAAAATGGACTTGTTTATTCTATCAAGAGGCAGCACATGTCACATATGATAAGGTGGTCATGCCATGTTCAAGCACCATGAGACAATTTATCAATTTTAATTTTTTAACTGATTTCTTAATAAATTTATTCTCTTTATTATTATTTTTAATGAAAATATATGCTAAACATAAATTTTAATTGTGCTAGACCCAATGTAATTAGAATCACATAATAGCACTAGCTTGGTTTCCTAACCAATAGTTCTATTGGCTTCAATCCATACAACTATTTATGCATAAAAAAAAGTTCAAGTTCATGGGTTATGAATAATAAGTTTTATTGGTTAAAGGTCAATGCAATTAAAATCTCTTGTAGCACTCGCTTGGTTTCCTAAGAATTGTGGTTTGAGCTTATGGTTGTGGCCAACTTGAGATGAGAATTATATATCAATCAAGGACTTTTAGAATTCAATAATCACAGCTATTCATTTGTTACCAAGTGATTTTAGATACTTTGCACATCTTTGCTTGCTTCGCCTAAAGTAAAGTTTGGTTGAAAATGCGAAACTTGTTATGTTGGGGGTGGGAGAGATTCAAAAGCTCTGTTTAAAAATGCTTATCACAATTAGTTGTTCTATATTTTGTTTATTATAGTAATATTTTTTTTTCATTTATTTATATGATAGACTTTTTCTTTTCATTTTATAAGCGACTTTCAATTAGCTTGTTCAATAAATTAGATTTTTTTAAATAGGAAAGTTCATGTACGGCCTTCCCATATTTTTGACAATAAGAAGTTTTTTAGATATTTATAATTTGAATGGGAGTCCTTTTATCTGATCACTTAATGTAATATATGTTTTTATCAAACTTTTGCTTGTAAAAGGGTACAATGTATTGTTATCTAAGTTTTTCATCCTCGTTGAATAGTATTAAATAATTGTAAGACTATGATTAAACTATTTCATCCCATGCTAACCTAATTTTAACTGCATTTATTCATCTTAGAGTCCACATTTTTAACGAATTGATTATATGCTCTCAAAGTTCGTCTTAGTAATCCATTGATTATGGTTGTTCCATTCATATGTATTATGGGTGTTAGTAAACATCGATGTAATTGTGAAAATCAAAAAGGTTTTTTCAATGACCTTAAAGAGATCTAACGGTCCAAAAGATAAGAGGACGATGAAGGCAATCCACTGCAAGGAAATCATGAGGCCTACTCGACCAAATGAGCCAAGCCAACTAAGCCAAAGCAGACTGAGCCAAAGGGAAAAAAAGAAGATGACCGAGTGATCCAATTGTGAGCCACCCTATCGAAAAAAAGATAAGAGAACATCTGAGCCATCCACTGTAAGAAAGCCGACTCGATGTGATCAGTTAATCTCGCAGTGGAGCCAACCCAACAAAAGAGCTTGTCCCACAAAGTATCTCCTACCATCCAACTGAGACCTATATACTCCTCACGAGAGATCAAATATTGTCAAGAAGGCTGGATAAACCAAATAAAATCTACTGACCAAACTCAACAAACCAAGCTGACCTAGTTGAGCCTAATCAGCTAAGCTTAGCCGATCGAGCTAGAAGCAAGCGGGATGATAAGCCCACACTTGTAAAATATCATAAATACCATAGTGCAAAACCCTTCCAAATGGGGGTGAAAATGTAATATCACCATTGTACTACCTTGTTTATAAACATGAGAAATATTTCAAGAAGAATCAACACTATTAAGTACTATTTGTCACTGTTCATCTCTCTCTCTGTCTCCTCATTTACAATTTATTCATTTGGTGTGATTCACGGGCAACCTTAGATTCAACATCCTAAAAGGTACCATGAGCGTAAATCATGCCACTAACAAGAAGAGAAGCGATGAGAAGAGAATGACCTCACAATAGAGAGACTGACGAAAATATAGAGTGCACTCGAGAATTTGTGATCCAAGAGTTCTAAGATCTGAATGATCAAATGTTAAAAATCATCAAGGGTGCACTAAATCAAAAGCACGATTCGCAACTCCAACATGATGTTCTAGAACCAAATGATAGAAGAGGGCCCCCATAGGCCACAGATAGGGTTGACGAAGCCCAATATATTGACTCGCTGGGTTGACACTATTTGATTGACATCAGGTTGAGTGTAATGAAGCGCCACTAAAGTCATATAATACGTTCTCCTAGCAAATCTCCAAAGCCAAGACACTAGAACAATTCAAGTTTCGAACACTTGAATCTTATAAGCGATGGACGAACTAGACAGACCACATCACTTCATTCGCGTCGAATGTGTGTCTTTTCAAGATTAAAGATGTACTAAAGTGCCAAATCTTCTTCACCAGATTGAGGGATTCAACTCTCAGGTGGTTTAATGAATTAAAATCAGAATTAGTCGCATCTTCTGCAAACTTCAAGCGAATGTTTGTTGCATAGTTCGCTAATGCTAAGAATGTTGCACAGTTCGCTGGTGCTAAGAAACCTTAGAAGAGTTTTCAGGTTCTCTTGTAGCTTCGTAGGGACAGAGCGAACCCGACGCCTTTATCACTCATTTCCAAAAGAAAATATTGGAGGCTCATGATTTATAACATACAATCACTCATGCGGCCCTCACAGAAGGATTAAAGGAACATTTTTGTTACACACTGAGATTGAAATGATGGAAGATTCTAATCAAGTTATTGGAGTTATTCAATAATCATATTTTGATAGAAGATTTTGATACTCCCCCCCACTTACTTAATTCAGAACCAAGCAAGCCAATTACTATTCGCCAAAGATAACCACCAACGAAGAAAAGTGAAAGCTAAGACACAACCCTCACCTCCTACCTAAGTTTGCTTCGAAGATTCACAAAGACACTCAAATAACTAGGTAACCAACAAAGCCCATTACAAATAAAATCGAGTCCAATACCCTGAACGACGACCAACTCAGTATGAGGAGCAACCTCCATCTGGTTATGAGATATCCAAGGAGACACCTCTAATAGTCCCAATGCCCAAGATAGTGGAGCCCATCCAAAACGAAGACTATTTCAAGAAGGCAACCTTGATGAATGTTGAAGTGTATCTCCAACTCAAAGGAATATTGTGCGCATCATCATGACTATAATCATGACACTGAGGAGCTTGATCAAGGATTTGATCAAAATTGAGAAGTTGAAGAAGTTTTTAGTGCATGAAGCAACCACCCAGTGATAGAAAAAAGTTCTTGTTGAAGAAGTTTCAAGTCGATCCGAGCCCAGGTGATACACATGGGCTACTTTGTTCATGCCATCTTTAGAGAGGACGAGAGAGAATCATCTCTCTAAGCTAGCTTGAAAAGGTCTCAAATGAGTTAGTTATGTGCAGCCGCTTTGGCACCGCGATGTGGCTCAAACCCTCCTTCTCTTTTACTGACACAGACTTACCACCGAGGGTCAACCCTTACAACGACACCATCATCGTGACTATCTTAATTGATAACTACTAGATTGAAAGCATTCTTATCGACATCTGGAGCTCGGTAAACATAATATTCAAATTGATATTTGATAAGATGGGCTTAAGCACCTCCCGTTCTTCGGCCATGCCTGAGACACTCTATGGGTTTTTTGGAGAAAGGAAAGATGCTTTGGGAACGCTTACCCATCCAGTCACCCTAGGAGAAAACGAGAAGTGATTCATTGACATGATAGATTTCACATGATCTATTCCCCACCTACATGTAACATTATCGTTGGTCGCTCTTTGCTAAACTCCTTAGTTGTTACCTCTATGTATCATGTAACTATGAAGTTTTCAGATGATGGGGAATTGATCACTCTCCGAGGCAACCTAGAGCAGTCACACACTTGCTATCTCCATGTGATCGAAAATATTCAACAAGAGTCTCTCGAGCTTGACATCTAGCAAAGGAAATGCCTTCAGACCAGTAAGGCCATCCAAAAAGCCCTGCAGAGAATGAAGACATATGTAAATTTTTCTGATTGAGTAATACTTTTATTCCGGATCATGAGACAAACTGATCAAGACTCTTCAAAATCATCTAAACATCTTTGCTTAGTCAACCGCCAAGATGCTCGGGATGACACTCGAAGTTGCTTGTCATTGGCTAAACATCAATCCAACAGTTCTACCATGAAGCAAAAAATGAGGATGTCGACAATCATGTTGGACAAGCCGATCCAGAAAGGGGCGCAAAAGCTAGTGGAAGCCAGCTATATCTGAGAAGTCTAGTACCCGAGGTAGATGTTTGATGTATTCATGATCCAAAAGATAAACAACATATAACAGAGATGCGTTGACTTCACAAATTTAAATGTCTCATGCCCGAAAGACAAGTAACACCTGCGAAGAATTGATGTAGTCTTAGACAAGACAGTCTACCATTCAGTAATACATTTCATTGACACTTTCTTAGACTAACACCAAATTAAGCTGAGGTGTATTATTCTAATATAATACTTTTCGAGCTTAAAAAAGCTAGTTTGATCTATCAGTATCTGATGGATAGAACCATGCTAAACAAAAAGAGAAAAATTTAAGTTAACTGGAACTTCTAAGATTTTATTTTTAATAGTAATAATTTCACATAATTTGGGCTTCGACCCGCTGTACTGCGACGAACCAGAGCTTCCATTGATCCTTTGAGCCGTGAAGAGTGAGAGCGAACAAAATCGTACCCATACCGCTTCTATGACGACGGTGTCTCTTTTTCGTCCTCCTTCTGCCATTACTTTCATCTGCTCTTCTTCTCTTTCTTCTTCCTCGACTTCTCTCCCACCTCGCCTTTTTTTCCATGGAAGTAAGAATGGAGCACCGATTGATTGCCGCATCATCGGGAGAGGGAACTTAAAGCCGTCGTATGGAACTAAGGGGGTTTTACGCCTTCTTCCCTTTTCCTCTCTTGCTCTCGATTCCTCAGTCTCCACCGATCCCAGTTTTCTCTCCTCCTCAGTTGGATCTCCCCCACAATCTGTCTCTTTCTCCCAGTGGAATCTTGGCTCAAGGCATATCCTTCTTCTTAATATCACAGCCTGCATGGTAAGCCTGCTTTAATGCCTCGCCTAGGGTTGTATCTATTTTTAAATTCTTATGGATTTTAACTAGTTTTCAGAAAACACACTCTATGGTCGTAGTTTCCCATTGTTGAGCAGTTCCGACCATATTTACAGGTTGCTATTTCCGCCTCCTGGCTATTCTTCTCAGCGATTCCAACCCTTCTGGTATCTTTAAGTTTCACCATCGGAAATTTTTTCAGGAGACATTTATCAGTGTGAGCATTTCTATTTCTTTTTCTTTGATGTTGATAAGTGCAGGCTTTTAAGAGGGCTGCTGAATCATTGGAGAAGTTATTAGATGTCACTGCAGAGGAGCTACCGGACACCATGGCAACAATGAGACTGTGTGGGATGGAGATAAGTGACTTAACCATGGAGCTAAGTGATCTAGGGTTAGTCTTTTGAGTTGCCTTTTTCTCCTTCTCTAAGATATACACTTAATGGCAGCTAGAAATGGAAAATTTGCTGATTGTTACTTTTTTTTAATTTCTGTATTGCCGATTTCTGCTTGTTTTTGTATTGCAGGCAGATTTTTTTTTTTTTGGGTTAATTTGATATTTGGAGGAATTATCCCCGCTGACAGTGAGAGAAGCAGTAGGGAGGCCAATTTTGAACACTAATTCAAGCTAAATTTCTTAGACTGCAAGATCTAATTTTTTTCAGCACTAGATGTCTGAGGAGTGAAGGAAGAGTATTTTGGTCCCCATTTTAAGAATAAAAGGGATGCACAAGAGTGGAATTAAGTTGATGTGTTATATTTTAAAATTACGGGAGAGGGTAATTGAACAAGGTTATGATTTATTACAAAAATTTCTCATAATCAATTTGGATTTATGTCGGACAGGTCTACCATGGAAGCCATACATTTATTGAAAGGTTTGATGGAAAAGTTCAGAGAGAATAGCGAGGATCTACATATGATTTTTATCGATTTAGAAAAAGCTTATGATAAGGTTCCAAGATATATCCTTAGGAGAGTTCTAGAGAAGAAAGGTGTTGATATGACTTATATTCAAGTCATTAAAGATATTAATGCTAGAGTTGTTACTTGTGTTCGAATAGAAGGAGAATTGACCAAATATTTTCTTATTTCAATTGGATTACATCAGGGATCGACTTTAAACCCATATCTTTTTGCTTTAGTTATGGATGCTCTTATTGGACATTTACAAGAGGATGTACCTCGGTGTATGCTTTTCGTTGATGATATCCTTCTCATCGATAAAACTAGAGAAAAAGCTCAAGAAAAACTTGAACCTCTAGATGCTCTCTCCGAAGAATCGAACAACATCATCAAGGGTCCCGTCTTGGCCGTCAGATGCACCTTGGATCTAGGAGAAGTCAGTCGCCGTTCTACTCGCTCCTGTGGAGAGCTGGTAGCAGGCAAAGGGTCGGGCGACTAGCGCCCCTCCGAAGTGATTGGTGGCAGAAGTCCCACTAACTCAGCCTGTAGGCTGGCCACCGCAACGGGGCCGGACTCTGCTGCATCTTTCGAAGGCCCATCATCTTCGCGACCCTCCAATTGATTCATCTGCATGGGGATAACACAAAAAATTATTGAAAACCGCCAACTTCCAAAGAAAGCGTACATACCCATAAACCTATCTATCGAAGAAAGGGTCTACAAAAGCTTTTCTCTCTCTCGCAACGAGGTACCTCCGCCTCCCGACAGTGGTAGCTGAGGAGAGACGATGATCGCCGCTCCATCGAGCTCCCTTCTGCTATCCTCAACACTTATTGCAAGCAAGACTTGCTGGCCCTTGACAATCGTGTTCACATTAGGCCCAGATGTTATTGTTTCCTGACGGAGCTTTTTCAGCGACATCTCCTCAATGCCATCAGAAGAGTCGACTACATCGACCGGATCAAGTTCAGGCCTAGACCATTGTTCTTTCCTCTCACTCTTCTTCCTGTTTATAAGCCAGAATTTTGGGGTTCACGTCGACTCGACTCGTACCATCAGGCATGGCGTACCTTGGCTAGCTGAAAAACACTGGTGGCTAAGGGTGCAACACCAAGTTTATGATGTTATCAATAGAACACACTAGACACGGAACCCAAAGGGAAGTAAACTGTTCAAGCAATTATTGATTTTGATTTCACTATTGTTTGATTTACTTGTCCCTATCGTAGTTGTCACTATCAAGGAGCAGAAAAACTCAGGAAACTAATATGTACACGTCAGTATTGTCAGCACAAATCTAAAAGCAATCGAACTGCTAAGGATGATGACACACGATTGAAATATTAAATTCAAGAAACATGATCTGAACCGGTCATCTGAATGATCAACAGATTGATCAAATCTATCCTTAGAGAATCTGGTTGGCGGGCTTATCTACGGTCCCAACTGCCGAAGCTCCCAAAAGGTCGGTCAAATGCAACCAGTTGACCGATCGCTTATAACTTGGCAGAAATGATTCCTAAGAGGCTCGACGCTTTGGTCGACCGGCTGATTACCGTCATATCCGAATTCAAATTGTAATATAATTTAGTATCAAATCAACACATTGATTGCATTGAGGGCTATTTCTATAATCGCTCAATCATTTCGGTAATTAAGGGTTATTTTCATAATTACTCTCTCTCTTCTGTAATTGTACAAGAATGCCTCCTATAAATAGGAGGCTCGATGATATGAATAAAGGGACCCCGGGCTTGACGATTTTTTCCTTGGCCTCTCTACTGATAATTCACTAGCATTTTTCCCCTCTGTACTCCTTCTCCCGGCTCTAACTCTCAAGGCGTGTATTTCCAAAAGAAAATTCTGGACTCTACACATTCAAATTTTTTTATGGACCTTCTCAGCTTAAATATTAGTAAAACAGAGCAATGAACCTGGGCTTATTGCTAATTTTTCTATTATTAATGATGGATTTAGTAGTTGAAATTACACTTAATGCAAAATGTCATTAATACCTATTTGTTATGAGAACATCTTTAAATGATGTGGATCTAATTGCATGGCCTGGGGAATTTTAGTCTTGCGGCCATTTTTATGTTATGGTTTCTTTCTTTTTAGATGAATGGGGTTCATTGAAAGGCTCTTTTTGCCAAAAAAAGAAATTAAGAAGAATAATGTTCTACTTTTTTTTGTTTATACTGATTTAGATTAACCATGTAGTCAGGGGATAAAGCAAAGTGTGAGGAGCTCTACTCAAGCTGTTCGTGTGGCTGAGGAAAGGCTACGCCGTCTCACTACCATGGATCCAATAGGTTAGGTTATCATTCAATTGTTTCATTTCTAGCAGGAATATGAAGTAGTTATTAGGATGGAATGGTGCGTTTTACTCCATCTTTACTTTTTTTAGTATCAACACAGGCGCACAACAAAACAAAACAGATGGAGAAACAGCCCTTCGCTAAAAGAACAAGGAATTTACGACAAGGCATTGTCAAGGGAAGAGCCCTTTTTGGATTTATATTTAGTGTTTCACAATTTTCTCGATGGGCTTGGAAAATTTACATGTCACGGTGTAGAAGTGCTAGCAATTTAAGCAATCAGGAGCTACGTGCACACTAGCAGTGTAAGCAACCACAATGAATAAGACATTTTATAGGGTTTTTTTTGCTATTTATGTTAGGTATATCTCAAGCAATGAAGTAGGTTTATGCTTTTATTGTATGTTTGTAGATTACAGTTTGCTTTCATGCAAACGAAAGAAAATGAAAACGGAAGAGAAGCAAAATTAGATTGCAGGATGCTTTTGGGATTTTATGAAGTGAATATGGATATGAAATCACTCTTTATGTCTGGTTCATATTACATTAAATATTCTGCTTTTTTGGATTTATCGGTCTTAGTTTGAATGCTTTATTTTCAATGTTCTTTTAAGAATACTTTTGTAATTATGTTTTGCTAGAGTAATTTCAAACTAATATTGTTAAATCGCTTAAGGTAATAGTTTGTTCCTAAGCTTGTATGTCAACTTTATTCTTCTTCCTGTATTATTGTTGCAGTGTTAATAATTTCCCTTTCCATGGTGTTAAAATTTAGCTATTTTCCCTCATTATTAACAACAATAACAACAACAAGCCTTTATCCCACGAAGTGGGGTTGGCTACATGAATCCTATTAAGTGTCATATTTTCATTCAATTCTAATGATTAAGATCATTTTTTATACAATATGACCAAGTTTTTTTAGGTATACCTCTGCCTTCTTAACATAATTCGAATAAGAAACATCTACTCTCTTAATAGGATCATCAGATACTCGGTGTTTCTTATTCGAATTATGTTAAGAAGGCAGACATTGCAACAAGGATAATCTAAGATAGTCAAAATGCAGAAGGCCTTTAGACTCCAATGTAGATCTCCATAATTGTCGGTGTTTAATGTCATATTTTCTCTCTAATCTTGTCTGCCAGTGTAGCTACACCAACCCTATCACGGATATATTCATTTTGCATTTTGTCTCTAAGCGTCAAGCCACTCATCCACCTAAGTATTCTCATCTCAGTAACACTTAACTTTGTTTTATGCTTCTCTTTTAAAAGCCAACATTCTACGCCATAGAGCATTGGGCCTCACTACCATCTTATAAAATTTTCCTTTCAAGTCAAGCGGTATTTTTTTATCACACAATAGGCCCGATGCATTCCTCCACTTCAACCAACCAACTTGAATTCCACTACTAATAACATCCCTATCTATATCGCCATCACTTTGAACAATAGACCCGAGATATCTAAAACGATCACACCTTTTAATGATTTGATCACCCATAGTTACAACTGTGCTACTAGAGTTACTACTAATAAAATTACATTCCATGTATTTAGTTTTAGATCTACTCAAGCGAAGGCCTTTAGACTCCAATGTAGATCTCCATAATTCAATTTTTTTCTAAACCATTTCTCTAGTCTTATCCACAAGAAGGATATCATTAGTGAAAAGCATACACCAAGGTTCATTCTTCTGTAAATGTCCAGTAAGAGTATTCATTGCTAAAGCAAAAGGATATGGGCTTAAAGTCGATCCCTGATGTATTCCAACTGAAATAGGAAAATATTTGGTCAATTCTCCTTCTGTTCGAACAAAAGTAACAGCTCTAGTATACATATCTTTAATGACTTGAATATAAGTCATATCAATGCTTTTCTTCTCAAGAACTCTCCAAAGGATATCTCTTGGAATCTTATCGTAAGCTTTTTCTAAATTAATAAAAATCATATGTAGGTCCTACTTATTCTCTTTGAACTTCACCAAATCTCCCAATAAGCTTGAAGTTTACTCATAAAAATAATTTTATTTGTCTTTTAGGTGCTCTCATCTACTTCCGTGACAACATTGTTTTGTATTCTTTATCTTACAACTTTTAATCTTAAAATCCAAAACTAATAATTAATGAATACTTAAATTTTTACTTGGAATGATCTTATAATATTTACACTCTCAACAGTCTTTTTTTCTCATAAGAAAATAATCAATTTGTGTTTATTTGATCTATTTTTTATTAGTAATAATATGCTTATCTCTTTTTAAATAAAATATTAGCAAGAACAAAATCATATGCTAAAACAAAATCTAATATGGATTTACATTCTTTATTAGTCACTCTCAAAACTTAGCTACCATGAATATTTCTAAAATCTTCGACCAGCCCTACAAAAAGACCTATCACTTTCAATAAAAAAACGATAAGGAATGACACATTTATCTATTATTACACCTATACCTTTTCTAGTGCGACTCTTACCTGAATATCAAAGTTTAAAACCTAAGTTATTAATCTCCTTAGTCTTTTCTCCAATCCATTTAGTTTCTAGAATACATAAGATATTTATCTTCCTATGAATCATAATATCAGCTAATTCCATTAATTTAACTACTATTATATCTATATTTCAAGATCTTATCCTAATATTAGTTTCATGGAGTAATTTTTTTATTCTCATTGTTTTGTTTGTTGACCTCAATTAGTATATGAATTTAATGTAAGTTGCAATAATTGTTGGAATTAGAAAGTATGAGTACTAAGAAGTTCTAAACACTCCTGTAGGAGAATCCTTCTATAGGGTCACCTTTTTCTGATACTTACTCCATGCTTGGCTAATATTGTGCTGTAAGACTGACATTTCAAATCAGTTCAACAAGGCAATCATTTTATCTATCATTCTATTGTTATTTATGATAACCTTTGTAGCTATGGGACTGTAAACAAAGAGTCATTGTCTGCTATTATCATCTGTAAAGTATATAGTTTAAACTCTAAGCTAATGGTTGGTGAAATGTTACTATTTCTAAAAATATTCTCTGGGATCTGTAATTAAGCTTTTGGGGTTTAAGTTGTCCTAAATGATGCTCGAAAAAGAATTGGGTTGTCTGGCTATTCTATCTTTATGTTAAGTCAAAATAGTGGGAACCAGATGGAATATATTTGTGTTTTGTTTTCTTTTTTCTTCATCAAGTATGAATGGCTTTCTTTTAGTAAAAGTGGGAGTAGAAATAGTTATTTTAATCCTCATTATGTCTTTTTTACAATTTGTTATGGGTATATAATATACATATGCTTCTAATTATTCCAATCAAACCTCTTCTTTTAAAGTTAAGCAGCAAAGCCTCCCTTATTTTGCATCCAGCACATCATCTTTCTTTTATATGTTAACCTACTTTATCTCCACACAATATATATTTAATAGTGGTTTCCGATGCTGTAACCCCGGCACAACAATGCTCATATTTCCTTCTTTCACATTTTTTTCTTAAGCTACATGCACAATCGATAAATGAACCAAAACACACCCACAAACCACTCAATATTCCTTTCTTTTATAGAACTTAGTAATGTTTAATCTGGCTTAGAGTTTCCAAATTAACAAATTTTATAACATAATTCCAAATTCGTCCAAGTTAAAATATGATTATATATATTAAGGACCTTTTTTAATCCTCATGTTCATTCTTGTCTACTTGTCCTCAAGTCTCTTCCTCTTTTCTTATCACAGCATCTCTTTTTTGCATTCTATTTCTTCCTCTTCATCTTTGTAGAAGGTTTGAAGATGTTGAAGTTGAAAGTTGGTGTAGTTGTGTGATATGTCGTCTTTAAATTGAGCTCAGTTTGTATCAACTGGTTCCTAGAGCAAATGTTTTGTATGGATCCATGCTCCTCTTTAATTCACAACTTTGCTTCATTTCGGATAATTACGTACATAGCACTTGAAACATTGCGATTTACAAACTAGCACTCTTGTGATTTTCTTAACTTCAAAACGGATGCATTTATGAGTGTCACGATCAAGTCATTTGGAATTTAATAAAAATGAAAAACGAAAAAATATGGGTTGGGTTCTTATCACTAATTTTGATATTTGAGAGAATTCGAAGGGAGGAAAGAGGGTCAGTTCTGTAAATAACATTGTTTAGATTGCTGTGTATGAAAACTGCCCTTTTTCTCCCTTATCTTAGCTTCATATTTCATGTGTTTTCTTTTCTTTGTTTGTTGGGTAGTTTCTGTTGTTTTTGGTGAGAGAACAGCAATGTTTCGACTACCAAAGTTGCTGAATATCTGTTCTTTTATGTTTATATATTTATACTTACATTTAATCTATCATATTTACATGTGTAGCACTCAAATCATTAACATCACATCAAAAATATCACTCTTATTAATTTTTTTGAAAGTCGAATACAACTTTTTCCTATATAAGTTTATAGCACTAAAGTTTTATAGATGTAACTATAAAATTTTAGGTGTTAGAAATGTAAAATAAATTAAAATTTTGTGGTATGCAAGTAAATTTATCAAAATTTTAATTAGATGAACTTATACACACAGTAAGCTCACTCCAAATCAACTCATTTACACTCAGCCATAAAAAAATTTATGCGCGGACATGATAAGTGTGGATAGATACAAATTTGGTGTTATTGTGGTGACATTGTAACAGTATTTTCACAATATCATCATAATACTAACAATCCGCTTGTGAGGATACCGCATGTAATATTCCCTCCATAATCAGCCAAGCCAATCAGTAAATTTCAGTCAAATGTGAGGAGAGTGGAGGCTATTTTAGGGTTTCAGGTAGGGAATGTGAGGAAGGGGCGTTTGCTGATGGATGGATGGCGCTTGAATGGGAGGCGGTGAAAGCAGGTCGGAACTAGTGCTGATGAGCGTTGGGAGAAATCAATTCGATGATTGTTAAGATTATGTATACAGCGTTTATAGGTTTTATTACCAAATGTATGCAGCGTTTATAGGTTTTATAACGCAGGAATGTTTGGAGATGAAATAACTGATTTTATTATTATTATATTTTTATTTTAGTTTTTTTTAGTGTGGTATTTTGTGTTGTTAAAAATTTCAATGATATATAAATAAATATTAAAATTGAAGTGTTAGATATGCAAATAAAAAAAAAAATCAAACTGATATAAATTTTCCTAGACATTTCGTCATATACTTGAACGGGCTCCCCGTTCAAAAAGGCTGGTTATTAGACATGGATCATGATGCAATAAAGTTTTATCAACAAAGAATCATGCCAAGTTATTTTTCACCTATAAGAAGACGACATTGATGAATAAGACACCTAATTGCTTCTATTATTTCATATAGGAGATTTTACAAGGGGGGTTTTCATAAATATAACACAATTATAAATACAATTTCTAATGTATTTATAGATTTAATGCTTAGTTTTTTATTTTTATTTATATAGCACTTCGGTGATATATCACATCATGTATGGTAGAAAAATATATTTTAATTCTGAAAAAAAAAATATTAGTGCTTTTTAAAATGCAATGTTAAAATTGTGGTTATAAAAACAAATGTTAAAATTTAGATGATGATTCATAGGCAATGCAAATACCCTTTTTATAGAAAATTAATCCTAGGGGGGTGGATGAGAATTCTTATACATGTATTTATCAAACATCAAAACATTCATATTCATATGCATGTCACTGAAATCTTTAATATTACATCAAAAAATCAAGTTCACTATAATTTTAAAAGTAAAATATACATTTTCATGTAATACCAAAGTGTTATAACTGTAGTATCATTTAAAAATTATATATGAAAAAAAGCTAAGAATTGTATTGTATGTAAATTTTTCGCCAAAAAAAAAGAGAGAGTAAAGCTTATCCTGAATTATTTAGGCTGATATAGAGCTTACGACGCCTTCTTGAAACCAAAAAAATAATCATCAATGTATTGATTGTCAAGAGGTGGACTAATCAGACAAAATTAATAAGAAAATGTATTTGGATGAAGTATTTATTGATAATTTCATTTGTAAAAACAAAAAATCATTCAAATATGTGCATTACATTTAAGTATCAAACATATCAACAAAAATTTGAGGAAAAAGAAAACATCAATCAGAAGCTGAAATAATAAGAAAACGACGATGGCTAAAACGAATAACGCAATCTCTAAAATCAATGAGCAATGCAGCATTAGAAAACTAAGACGGCTTCTAAACTAGATGCAATTTTTTCCTATTCACAGAAAAAAAAAAAAATTTTTTTTACTGAGCAAGCTTCCTCCAAAGGCCTTTCGGTTGCAGCAGGCACTTTACTCTTCCAAATACAAAGCCGGTCTTTGGAGGATTACCATCCACGAGAGAATTTTCATATATCTCTTTGCACTCTTGGACCACCTGATAAACAGCACAAGTAAATAAGATTGCTTCATAATCATATATATATATATATATATATTTAGGAGACTTGTAAATAGTTGCTAATGAATGTATAACCCCCACCCACTGAAATTCCAAAAATTATATCTTCAACACTTCATGAAAAAAAAAAGATTTTAAATACATACTGCAAAACTTCTATATATATACATATCTAACAAATAATTTTTTTATATTTAAATTTACATACATACCACTCAATTCTTTTGTATTTACATATGTAACACCTAAACTTCAATTTTAACATACATACCACCTTACCTATGATTGATAAGACAAGCTGTATTTCATTTTACGAGTTAAAATGATGCTATTATTGATGTGACAAAAGATCTGAGTGGTATAATTGTAAAAAGTGAGGTTTAGGTGTTAGATAGGTTTATATAAAGGAATTGGTTAGTAATGTATGTAAACACCCCTTATATTTATATGACTTTCTTGGAAAGATGTATTTCGCTTTTAAAAGCTAGTAATAGTAATATTTTTGATGTGATATGAAAGATTTGAAAGCTATTGATGTAAAAACAAATATTTAGATGTCAGATATGTAAATATATAAGATTTGTGTTGTGCGTATGTAAATGCCCCAAAAAACAAATGGAAGAAAAGAGAGGCTATGTTTTTTATTTTTTTATTTTTTTTTTCAGATCTCTTTTTCCTTTTGTTTTTTAATTTTATCTTATTTGTTTATGCTTTACATCGAAATGAAACATGTTTGCTTGGGGTGATTGTTTTTAAAAATACTAAAAACATCTAAATATTGTTTTGACTATTTTTAAAAACAAGTTAATTTGTTTTAAAAAATAAAAATGCTTAAAATATATCAAATAAACATGGTTTAAAAATAAAAGCAAAAAACAACAGCGAAAAATAAAAATGCTCCCAAACAAAGCCCTATATGTTCATCAGATTTGATTTTGTTTAAAGATGCTATATTGTGCTTCGGTTAAAATTCTCGAACTACAGCTAATATCAACACATGCAATATGTTAGTCATTACCTCCTTAGCATCCTTGCGTGGTATGCCTTCTCGGAGTGCCACAAGTTTCTCAACAATCTCAGGCTGCATAGAGAGAATATTTAAATATATTCTTACAACAATGTAATATTCAGCAGACAAACAACCAATGCAAAGATACAAGATTGTAAAACTGCCATTCAATTTGAAGAAACAAATTACCGGGCAATCGGGTTGATGTTCGAGAATATTTGTATAGATGAGCGTGAAACTGTCTAGACTCTCGGCAGATGCAAGCTCTCTAAGATCAGCCAGTATCTTCACTCTGGTTTCAACTTTCTGCAAACATTCAAATTAAATTATAAATCAAGCAGAATAATGATTTTGCTGGGTACTATTTTACCGCATGAAAAAAAAAGGAGGATCACATAATAAAGTAAATGCGATTAGACTACAGCTATAAAATCCAGAAAGATGAAACCAATTTATCTCTCTCATCTTGTATATATCAAGCAGACATGTTAAAGAGCATATATATAACAACAGTAAAAAACAGAAATAGTAGTGATAAATGCCATAACAATGATTGATACTCACTGTAACACTGATATACTCACGGAAGAAATCCATCAAAACCTCTTCATCAAGCCTCATCCGTTCAATTGTTTCTTCTTTAATATAAGTTTTCTACAGGCACGAATTATCAATACCTTCATGACAGCCATATCCATGCATAAACTATACAATATTTCAACAATGGAGATGGCTTAAGGAGAGCTGTGCGAACCTGAGAAAGGAGATGATCAGTATAAACAACAATAGTTTCCTCCAGGCAAGCTTCCACGAACCTTCTGAACGATCTTTCCTCAATGTACCTTCAAAAACAAAGGCAGAATTACATCAATCAAGTTAGTTTACAGGTGTATATTTGTGAGTTTGGGAGAAAGAAAAAATATCATTCCTTGTCAACTTCTTATGAAACAATTACAAGATAAATAGAGGGTGATGACTCCTACAGTAGGAAAAACATAAAGTCGAACATAACGCCCCATGATATAATTCTATATTCTAAATATAAAAAATAATAAAAGATATTCCTAAAATTCCAACATTCCCCCCCCCCAAATCGGAGCATAGATATCTATCATGCCCAACTCAAATACAAGAAGTTCAAAACAAAGCCTGAACAGCCCCTTAGTGAAAATGCCAATAATTTGTTAATTAGGAATAAACAACATGCAAATAAATCCGCAATCAATCTTTTCTTTTATGAAGTGCAAGCCAATCTCCAAATAGTTTGTGTGATCATACCACATTGGATTTTTTGCAATCCTGATAGCTTGTACAGTATAACTTCATTGGCATGTTAATCGGATTTCGCAGCTCTTCTAGAATTCTCTTCAGCTATAATATCTCACATATTTCATTAGTCATAGCCCGAGATTCTGCCTCGACACCACATTCTGTTTCTAATTTCGCCATGCGACCAAATTTCTCTAGACATAAGTACAATATCCAATATCCAAATATCAATCTTCTGTCAACAACTGAGCCTGCACAACCTGCATCAGTGTATGGCTCTATATTTTTTGTGTGGTTTTCTGCAAGAGCAAGTCCTTGCCTGGTGTACTTTTTAGGCGCCTGAGAATTCTGTTAACTGCTTCAATGTGCTTCTCATAGTACGAATGCAAAAATTTACTTACCAAACTTAAAGTAAAGGCAATATATGGCTGAGTATATGATAAGCATTTCAATTTCCCACCAACTTTTGATATCGAGTGGTATTGGAATATTTGCAGGCTTACAACCACTCATCCATGTTTCCTTTAGAAGATCAAGAACATATTTCTGTTAGGAAACCATAATCCCTTTCTTCGATCAAACAATCTTCATGTCAATAAAATACCTTAGAGATCCAAATTCATCGGTCTCAAAAATTGATGAGAGAAAAATCTTCAACAGTTCATTTCATATACATCGTCTCCAATGAGAATTATATCGTCCACATACACAATCAATATGACTATCTTCCATCATTGGAATGCTTGATGAATATTGTATGATCTCCATGCCATTGAGTAAATCCTCCAACTTTAACAAATAGTGTAAATTTCTCAAACCACGCACTCGATTACTACTTCAACTTGTATAGGAATTTTTTTAGTCTACACGACTTTGTGTCAAACTTCTCACTAAATCCATAAGGTACATCTATAATACACTTCTTCCTCCAAGTCCCCATTGAGAAAAACATTCTTTATATCCAACTGTTGTAGTGTTCAGTCAAGATTAGCTACAAGTGATACAAGTACTCTTATTGAGATTAATTTTGCAACTAGAGCAAATGTCTCGAGATAATCAATGTCATATGTGTGAGCAAATCCCTTAGCAATTAGTCTGGCCTTATGTCATTCTAAGGAACCATAAAAATTGTAATTGATTGTAAAGACCCATTGGCATCCGACATTTATCTCTCTAAGAAGATCAACCACTTCTCATCTCCTATTTTTTTCAAGAGATTGTATCCCCTCGAAAACAACCTCCTTGAAATTAGAAATCTTCATATGCGATAATTGTGAGGTAAAAGCATGGAAGGTGGGTGAGAGGTGATCATATGGCACATAAGAAGACAATGGATGTTGAGTGCTAGACACATTAGACAAAAGATTTAAACTAGGCTTAGAATTTGAAGACAAATTAGACTGAACATAAGGTAATGAATTAGTAAGGATGTTACCCGAGTTTGCAAATTCTAGGAAGTGTAAAGGATTCAGAGACCCTTTTTTTAGTTGTACTTTGTTGCAAGTAGACAAAATCAAAAGATATCACTGTCGTCGTTCTTTTCATATTTCTTCATTACTATGAACATCATAAGATGACACTATAGAAACTTAAATATCTAAAAGACTCGACACACTCTCTCCTAATATAACATCACCTGAATTTTCAAGTTAAACAATCAAGGTTAGGGTCATACTATTTTGGGAGTTTTTAATTTGAAGAAAATCTAAAAACTCAGCAAGCACATCTTTGTTTGTTCTTCCCCTTGAAGGTGAAGTGGAAAAAAAAGCTGTGATTCAAACAAAGTGATATACATGGTAACAAACATTTTTTTTTAAATTGGGATTAAAACATTTATACCTTTTTTTTGTTAAGAGCATAACCAAGAAACACATTTTTTGGTTAGGGGTTCAAGCTTGCCTTGATTATGAATGTTAACAAAAGCAGTACACACAAATATTTTTAGAGTTAGGGAAGATGAGAGCTGATTTTTTGGAAATAATTTTTAAAAATCATCAAAAGGTGTTTAAAGGTTTAAAATCTTATTGGGTGTTCTGTTTTGAGAAATGTAACAGTGAGAATAGTTGCACCCCAAAAATATTTAGGCACTTGATTGGTAAATAGCAAAACTCAAAATACCTCTAATAAGTGCTTGTTTTCCTTTTAACTAATTCATTCTGTTGAGGAGTGTCGACATAAAAGCTTGGACGAATTATTCCTTTTCCAAGAAAGAATTGACCCCAAATTGTTTTCAAAATACTCAAACCTATTATCACTCTATAATATTTAAATGATTGTTTGAAATTAAAATTGTACCATGGTATAAACATTTTTAAAAATTTATTCTAGTTCTAATTTTTCTTTAATTAAATAAATTCAATAGAATCTGGTGTGATTACCAGTGAAAGTCACAAACCACTTCATACAAGAGTATGTAAAGATTTTACAAATATCGCTATGGAGAAAACAATGCGCGATGATGCTTAGGAAACTAACACAGTTCACATTGAAACAATAAAATATCTTTATTCCGAAATAATTTCGGAAATAAGCAATTTTTATAATGAAACTTAGATTGCTTAACCTATAATGCCATAATATAATTCCATTGTCTTTAGAAACATAAACATAAGCAAAATTAAAATCAATAATTTAACATTATCTATTCGAGTCAAGTCCATTTTTTTCCTTAGCACTATCAATCATGCTCTCTGTGGCAAATTCCTAAAACTCACAATAGAAAGCATAGAAGTTTGTTTGATATTGATAATCAATAATTTTACTAATGGACAACAAGCTATACGATAGATTAGGAAAATGGAGAACACGCGAAGGGTAACGGGGAGAGTATCAACAATTTTGATATTTTATTTTTTGGACAAGATCTACAAAAGGAAATAATTTAGAAATCGTCATATGATCAGTTGCGCCAGAGTCAACTATCCAAGAATTAGAAAAATTATGAATAACACATAACAAAGCAGTGACTAGAGAGTTACCCTTTTATACTAAAATGTAAGATGACTTTGAGATTAGTTTTAGAGTTTAAAATAATTTTTGCAAGTGCTCTAATTGCTCCTTGGTAAAAGGGATTGTATTCGAGCTAGCAGACGGCTCCCGAGTTTCTTTAAAAGCTTAATAAGCATGAACTTCATGCTTGAATTTTGATTTCCAATTTGCAGGTTTTCCATGAAGTTTCCAAAATGTCTCATTCGTGCGTGATGATTTTCTGCAATGTGATTTTTTTTCTCTCATCTTTATCAGTATCAACTCATTTTGATACAAGAGCAGAGTTTTCCTGTTCAATGTTACCAGACGATTCGATGTTGTACAACATAATTATCCTTCTAAATTCTTCACGTTTAACTTTAGAAAAAACTTATCGAATTGAGGGTTGAAGTTTCTTACGAATGATTCGACGTCGAACTTCATCTAAACACTATTTAAGGCCAGGTAAAAACACGTAGACCCGATCACTTTCCTCTCATTTTTGTGTCAAGCATAATAAAGTGCATTCTCCCAAATGTCATCATAACGTTGACCAAGCTCATGTACCAACTTATTGTAATGTAATAACATCACATTCATTTTGTTAAGATTTTCAAAGTTGAGTTTTCGACTAAAAAATTTATGAAGAATTCTCCAAGTTTGAATAAAGATCTCGAACAACCTTCCAGATAGTGCAAGAATGGCTGGCTTTGAACGCGGCCGCTCAGACTCAAAGGAGGACACACAAATTAGGGCATTGCCAGGATAATATTCTCAAAGATGAAGCAGGACGACGCAAGCGGTTCGACCTCGACCCGGGTTAGGTAGGGCACTTTCGGTGGCTCTAATACTATGTGAATTTTGGAGAAGGAAAAATATTATTCCTTGTCAATATCTTTTGAAACGATTACAAGATAAATAAAGGAAGATAGCTCCCACATTAGGAAAGACATAAAATCAGTCATAACTCTCCATAATAAAAGAAGGAAACAAGAATTAGAACATACCTGTATTCTAGATATAGAAAGTACTAAAATAGAAAATGCTAAAGAATATTCCTAAATTCCAACAATATTTAATTATACCCCAAGCATAACTAAAAAAATAGTAAGAGAAGTTCAAGTAGGAAGTGGGATCATAAATAAATTCACTAGTAATGAAACTGCACCTATAAATGGGCATACTACTTTTGATATGAAAACCAACATAATCAACCAATCACAACACAACATAACTAAAACATAGCGAGAGAAGTTCAAGTAGGAACTGGGATCGTAAATAAATTCACTAGTAGGGAGATTGCCCCTACAAATGAGCATACTACTTTTGATATCAAAACCAAAAAAATCAACCAAGTATAGTAAACATGTTAAAGAGGCCTATATATGATCAAATTATTAGAAAAGTGCCTATAAAGCCACACATGTTTTACCATTCACTTTTAATCAACTATGCTTTGGCCTAAGATGTTGACAAAAATTTTGCAAAATCTATTTACAACGCCCGCGCAAAATTCATTTTCCTACCCACACCACCTAATCTTCCCACCCATGTGCATTCAACGTATACTCACCCTCCGCATTCAATTCCGCGGCCAAACAACAAACATGACAACTTTAAATCTTTAAATCCCACGGGATCTTAAATCCCAAGTTTCCTTTGTTTTACCTTAAATCCCGAATAATCCCTTTGGAAGCTGGAATTATAACATTTAGAGGAGCTGAAGCATGGAAATTTTTAAAATAATGGTGAGAGGAATAATGATTTCATTTCTATCGATGATTGGAGTACTGCGAGGTTAGTGATAAGGATACAATTCGTGGCATAAATTTTTTAATTAAATGCCTGTTAATTATTGCTTTTAGCTTTATTTCTGACTAGGTCAACGGTAAACTTTATTTTTGTTGCCATAGTTATGATTGTATTTGCTTTTATTGTTATTTTCAAAAAATATAATTTTTATTTTCTGTCTCAATTAACCTAATTTTTCATTGGTATTCAAACAAATTTAATGGTTTTTTCACTGACTAGTTAATTGAATTAAAATTTAACCTTTCACAATTAAATTAATTTAATGTACCTAGAATTAATTTACATTGCGACTTGTTGTGAAGTGAACTCTAACAACATTGAGGATTCCAAGTTTAAGAAATATTCCTTTTTCACTTTATGGGTGAAAAGCCTTTTTGTGTAGAGCAGCTTGGCATGCCAAAAGTATTTAAGAGTGTAATAACACCCTCCAAATTTTCAGAAAACTTATTTTATGCCCCATCTTTGAAAAACTTCTAGCTTCCTCACTGCCTACAACACCCATCATATCATAATCATTATCAATCTTATTCTCAACATTTGGTCTTGAGCCTATAAATAAATACTTTATTAACTAGTCATTCGTGTTAAAAGCTGCACTTAATTCTAGTCTAGAAAAGTTCTTGCAGAAACGTCTACTGAATTAGCATCAGCCTTAATATTCTCCTGCTTACCCCATCATGCTAAGTCTAGCAGCTAACTGATTAGTACTGTTTCTGCTGCTTCTTCGGATGTTGTAGATTCCTCAACCACTTAAGTCTATTTTCTAATATGAAAGCCTCAATAAATTAAAGCCCTACATTTATGCTATTTATCATTCCAAAAATTAACCCCAAATATTGGCGCAAATAATTTCATTGAACTTCCAAATTTAAGTTGAACGCAATTTATTTTGGTTCCCCAAAATTGATCACATAAGATTTTTCAATTCATGACTCGGGCATAGAAATGCTTACTTTTCTTATCATGAAGAGATCAATCTGTTAAGGTCAAATTTAAGCACAAAAGATTAAATTTATTGGAATTTAACAGCCATAAGAATGATGACCTAAGAAAATGGATAAGGTAAAGTACATATTTATGATTAGATTCACTGTAAACCACAAAACCTAAGCAACTGGGCAGCACACATCTCTAGAAAAAGATAAACAGATAATAGTAGTAAAAGGGGAAAAATATATAATTTTCATTAAAATTATCACTAGTATGAGATGCGACTGAGTCTGTAAAGGCACGGTTTTATAAGCACAAGCTATCTATAAAACAGGAAATACAAATATCTAAGTTGAATGAAACTCACAAATCCCTTCTCCACATATATGGAATATCTTGAAATAGTGCAAAGGGAAAGATTATTAAATTTGTTGAATAAATTATTCATAGAAGATGTCCCTGTGATGATCAACCTAATTGATAAATGACAACACCATCTAAAGAATTATGTAGTCAGCCATAATTAATCAACTTATAAAAAGCAATTATGCTCCAAAGGGCCTTCTAAATTAGAATTTTATTCAATAGATCAATTTGTTAAACAGACATTTGAAACAATACATACATTTACACATAAAAAATAGAATGCCATAGACCAGTAAATAAAACAGAAACGACTTGTTCAGCCACAAAAGCTCTGCAATAAAACCTAATTTTTTGTTTAATTCACCACTCTCATCATCATCGCTGTTTTGGGCTGACTTTATAATTTGCATTAGTGTTAAATCTATCCCCCTTTTTTCTCTCCCCCTCTTGTCACTCTCTCTCTCTCTTTTTTTTTTTATTGGAGGAATTTACACAACATATATCCATGAAACCATTTCTAGTATTGCACCTTCCCTTCTTAATCCTTTGACATTAAATAAAAGTATATCAACTGAATCTGTTGATTGTGATGTTAGTTCGACTTTAGAAGGTAATAGATCAAATGAACACCTAGACAATATATGCACAACAATTTTAGCCATTGCTTTGATACTTTGAGGAAATGGCTTACATTTTAATGTCTGTAAAATAATCACCAAAGGTTGCAACTAGATATTCGGTTACCATTCCATCCAGCCAATCTGAGAATGCAAAAATTCAGCCACGAGGATAAAATAAAAGTGACTATATGTGCATAAGTACCATCAGAGGAAATTTTAATTAATGAAGCCATATCATCTAAACACATTGCAAATCAAAGCTAAAGGAAAAAAAAACAAGCAGTACATATACTTATGAGCAAATCTATACATATTTCATACAGTTAAAGGAGAGAGTAAGCATTAAGTCTTTCCAAAATTTTTCTTTTACATCTTAACTATTTGTTCTTATTTATTAGTTACTTTCACATAACCAAATTGAGACTAAAAAAAAGGAAAAAAGAGTATCCAGAGGCAATTTCTTGCAATGTGTGAAGAACTTATATTGAAAACTCTTTTTTTAGAATTATTTGGGGCAACCGTCTATTCCTTTATAAGTAGGCGGACAGTTTATCACAGGGTGCTTGATGGTTCAAGCATCAATCCATCTTCTCCAGAGAAATTGGATTACTTTTGTCTTCATCTACTTTCCTCAATTATTGATTCTTCAATCTGGCTTAGCTGATTGGCATACTGGTCACAACATTATTAGCATGTGATAAAGAACTAATACAGCATCTCACTTTCTCATCAAGTGAACCTTCCCGCGTATCTTGACTCATATGGTATATTTTTTTCTCAAAAAATGTGTATGCGCCTCAAATTCCTATAAGATAAAAATTTTGGACCAAATGCATATGTTGGTGAATTTTTGCTAATACGAAGCTTCCAAATTATGAAATTTTTGACATGCAAGGGACATCCAAACATCCGACATTGACAGAAAATAGCTCAAGTCAAGCCTTTTGGTTTTCCACAACTAGAAAGCACCAAGACCCAATACTACCATTAATTCTAATTACATTGGGTTGATAGGATTTTATTTTACAAGATTACATTGGATCCTTAGGCCGACAAACATTACTTAGTTTTCGGCCATATCAACATTAGTGTAATGATTCATGGGTGCCACATAATAGGCTCCAGCATCTTCCTTTTGGTCAAACTAATGAGTATATTCAGCAAAAAGAGAACTTTATACTCTGAGGCAGTTGATGAATATCATCCAATCAAGACTTAATTGTGTCACTAGTGGTGCTTGGTAATTGTGAGTTTTGAATAAACATTGTCTCACTGAATACGTAGATAATTCACCTATAAATAGGTGACTACAAGAGAAACAAAAGAAGGAAAGAAATCTTCCTACAATAAAGTAATTCCTATAATTATGGAATAACATAAATATCAATAATTAAGGAATTATACTATGACTAAATATAACAAGTACTAAATAGAATAATAATAATAAGGAGCGTAATTTCACACTCCCCCTCAAGGTGGGTTGTACAGATTGTACATGCCCAACTTATTGGTTAGCTCATCAAAACTGGACTGAGGGAGAGCCTTGGTGAGAATGTCTGCGGTTTGGTCTCTAGAAAGAGTATAGACCAATTCAATGATTCCATTGTCCACCTTCTCTGAAATGAAGTTCCGATCAATCTCAATGTGTTTTGTTCGGTCATGATGAACAAGCTTCTTAGCGATACTGATTTCAACTTTATTGTCACAGAACATCTTGATAAAATTTTAGCGATACTGATTGCAACTTTATTGTCACAGAACATCTTGATAAAATTTTCTCCCATAATTCCAAGCTCCTTGAGAAATCTTTTGATCCACATTCCTTCACAGATACCAAGTGTCAGTGCTGTGTATTCTGCTTCTGCACTACTCCGAGATACCACTGATTGCTTCTTGCTTCTCCATGTCACTAGATTGCCACATACATAAGAGCAATACCCAGAGGTTGATCGTCGGGTGGATA